GCCATCGCAAATAGGTTGGAGGCCTTAGCTCTTAGGTTGGAGGCCATCGCTAATAGGTTGGAGGCCTTAGCTCTTAGGTTGGAGGCCATCGCCACTAGGTTGGAGGCCATCGCTAGTACGTTGGAGGCCTTAGCTCTTCTTATCATTCGAGCACTGCAGTTGTCACCCGTTCGCCAAACGCCCAACGCTCCCCGGCCTTGGCACTTAAAATGCCCAGCGTGCGCGTGGGCGACCGACCGATCCGCCAATCGGGCGGGGGTCGCGTCGCCGCTCCGGTGGGCGGTTTTGGACGCGTGCAAATCGGTGAAGAAGAGCGTAGAGAAACTTGCAGTGTGGAGTTGTGCGTGTTTTTGGGGCTGGTGGCCTTGGAAGATGATGACATGATATGAGCTATTATTTCTTTTTGCGAAGAAACAAAGACCAGGGACAGCTTTCCTTCAGGCGGGTGGATGAACACTTCTCATCTTGGGCTGGGGCCAAGGTTGATGTGCGTGGTGTGTGCTGTGAGACGGAGAAAACCGAACACATTCAGGATACCCGTCTTTGCATGTCCTTTCGTGCAAAAAGGAAGGCAAAGACCTATCGTCATATCTCAAAACCTCTTCAACTGAAGGGTCTGTGCATCCAACTGCAACACCCCTTGAATTCCGAAAAAAAGCACCTGCGTCAGCCATGCTCGTCCCAACGAATCGGCGATGTACCGCTGTGCTGAAAGGGTCGATTTGCCGCTGTGAGCCCAGAGCGACGGGTTTTGTCGGGCTCCAATCTGAGTGCAAGCCATGTCGCAGCTCCTCCATGCGGCGCCCTCGTTTCAGCTTGCGATTTCATCTGTTTTTCGTAGGGAAACACTACTAGCAGCAAGGACGCTACTAGGTTGGAGGCCATCGCTACTAGGAGCAAGAAGCTAGGGAACACCAGGAAGCTGCCCTCACCGATTTGCGGAAGACACCGCTCCGAACGAAAGCTCCACCGTCCGACCGGAGCTGGGCTCGTCCCATCCGGAGGGATCCCAGCGTCCCAGTCGCACCGACGCGGTCACCGGTCTGACCGCTCCGCTGGTCTCACGGTTTGGTCCAATAACCCCAGTAACACCCTTCAGTAAGACAAGGGCTCTTCGGGATTCAGCTGTTGCTGAAAAAAGCTGTTTCACCTTGACCCTTGGAGCTGCTTCACACGAGGTCCTCACCTGGGGATGCAGGCGGAGGCCACTCTTTTTCCGCTGCGAGCGGGGGTTTGGGATGCAGGTCTGCGACCAGCGGCAAAAGCACCCGAAAAGCGACCGGGCGGGAGTTCGCGTGGCGAAGCTCGGTGCGTGCGAAGCGGGATGCTCCTGCTTTCCGAAGAATCACAGAACTGTGCTGAGAAATTGGGAGCTTCCAAAATGACCGTTCGAGATGCCGTTGAGAGATGGGAGGAAAGGTTGAAATCATCGATTTGACGACCAATGAGGTGCCAGAACCCAAGTAAGGTCACTTTGAGCCAATAGAAGGGGGTTGTGTGGATTCTTTTCATGCCCATTGATGTGCCAATCTTTTTCAGAGTTGTTCCCCCGCTTTTGGGTGCTGTCACGAACAGCTGATTCAATTGGTCAGTCATCATCTGGAGGGACTCAAAACCTAGTAGCAATGGCCTCCAACCTAAGAGCGATGGCCTCCAACGTAGTAGAACCTGCCCTCTGCATGGTTTTTCACTGTTCCTTTAACCAACTCGTCAGAGCTCCTGCGTGCTTTCCCGCGACAGGTGAGATTTCTCGGTGCTCACGTGGCCGTCCCAGGGTTGGACGGGCGAAAATCGAAAAGTTCCAGGTTCTGATTCTTGGCGGGTCCCATTGGCTTCTAGCTGCTAGTAGTAATGCCCTTGTTACTAGTAGCGATGCCTTTGTTACTAGCAGCTTCTAGCTACTAGTAGTAATGCCAGGCACTTAAGAGTTTGAATTTGAACTAAAAGACCCAACGTTTGAAGGAAAACATCTTGAATCTGTAAACATCATCACATCGTTTATGTGTTCTTTCCGTTTTCAGGCAGTCGTTGGCATGTCTTCCTCCAACTGTTAGCTTGTGCTTCGGCCAAGCACACATAACTCCCACTGTCTGATAGGCTTTTCCAAAAAAACAAAAGAGGTGATATGGTGTTGAAATGTGTTGAACAGCTGCTCAGTACACTGGTCCAAAGAACATCTTTTCACATGGCATCTACTTTGATTGGCAGGGCAGTGTGTATGCCGAACCTGTTCGGTGGTGTTGCAGTCTCTCCCAAATGGCTGGAAAAAGCTTTGGAAAATGTAGCATATCCATTGATATGTGAATCTGCATATTGCTTTGATACAGAACCTGTGGAGAACCAATGAATCTTCTTGGCTCCGCAAGAAGGGAACGTCTCCCTTGCTGCTCTGCAGACGGAGCTGGTGCTGAAGAAAAACCACTGAAACTCATCAAACGCATGAAACACTTTGGCGAAGTTGATCCGTTTAGATGACTTTCTCATACTGGTTCAGATTGGATCCGTGGAACACCCACGTCCTTCCTGGAAGCATTCGTATGCGAATAAAAAAAGAGTAGGAACACACACGCTGATTCGGAATTCATCAGGGAAGTCTTCCAACCGCTTTTCAAACCGAGGTTGGTCTTGATTTTTCGGCGAACATCAAGGGTCAAGATTGATCTCTGCACAGCTACGCTTGAGATTGGAGATGACGCCGAGACTGCAGCATTGGTCGGACCTGTCGCGGTCAGAATAGGAGCTGTCAAAGCTCTGCGCTGCAATGCCCCCCGCATTTTCCTTCTTCCCCTCCTTTTAAGACCTTCTTTTATATATTTTGGGGAATGTGTTGGAATCATACTTGCATTTTGCAATGAGGAGCGTGCGCTACTTCCGAACCCAACAAAGTCAGTAAGGCTTCTGAAACTTTTGCCCCACTAGCTGCGATATGTATGCTATTTTTACAGTGACTCGATTATAAGGCAGAAATACCGAATGTTGCTAATCTGAATGCAGAACAAAGCTAGATGATCTATAGGGCTTCTGCTCATGAAGCACTGACAATGACATGAACCGTTCTCAACACAAGGAGTCACCCAAGGCAGCCACGGAGATGCAGACCAACCACACTCCCGGCAGGCTTTAAAGGAATCTCAATGCCAAGGACAGTGGAGTCTGGTGAACCAAACCGACCGAACTCAGGGAGTGACACCCACCGAAACCTGCTCGTCTGGACACCGCGAGCTCGGCGATGAATTGTTTTGCGGCTTCGTGGGCGAGACGTCTGCCAAGCCATCTCTGAGAACCACCTGTTCTCGTTCTACTAGGAACAAGGACGCTACTAGAAGCTGCTATTCAAAAAAACACTTCTTTTGAGTTACTAATAGCGATGGACTCCACCCTAGTAGCGATGGCCTCCATTCCACCTCAAAACCACCTGGATCCCCACCATCGCTGCTTCACATGTTTCGCGTGTTGCCCTGTAGACGGCATGCAAGGAGACATGCACCAAAACTGCTGAAAGATCACCAAGCAAAGACCCAACATCAGCCATCTTGGACCAATCCGTCAGAACTGAGCCGAGCCTGTCGTAAAATCATCCATCCAAAGCTCCATTCGCCCCGGCCAGGGCCCCTCCCCCCCAAAAAAGACAACAGCAATGAAAAAACAAACACTTAAGATGAGTGCTCCGCGGAGCTGTGCTTCAGAGATGCGCGGCGAGCATTCGCCCTTTATGTTACCGCAGTAGCCAAGAGCATTAGCGTTGAGCGATACTTAGAATGACAAATGCTGAAAGGAACATTGGCAGGTACGTGATCCTAGCGTCCCAGGATCATATCAGCCTTGGAATGCAGCCCTCTTCGTTGGACAACCAACTGCATCCATGGGGTTGTCCCCTACGGAAAACAATGAAATCGTCAGAATAGGTAGCTAGAGAAAAGTGTCGTGCCCCTGGAAACGGGGGTTGACACACACTTCGAACTTGGATTTTCAGTTAATGCAAGTATCACGTTGGG